TCTTAAAATCACTTAAGCGGCCTTTTATTTCAGTATTATATCATCATCAGCCTTCTGCAAGTAGTTTTTTAAAATATACTTTTAAGATTTGAAGTATTAAGGTTGAACCATCACTCTTCGTCACTTCAGTTTAAAATCTCATAACTGGCCTTTTTATTTCCTGAAAAGTGATTTCTAGAAAACACTTTAGAGCATTGTGGGAAAACCATCACCTGAGTGACATTTACTAAATGATCCACCACTAAACTCACTCCTTACCGAGAGCGAGTCCATCCCCGGAGCCCTGTTCATCTAATGAGGCAGCAAAATAAAGAAGTATTTGGGAAGTCTAGCCCTCCAAATCTTTACGGTTCAGAGGAAGAGTGTCACCAGTGGCGGGGAATTAGATGAGCCAGCTGGGGCTGGGGTGGCTCCTATTGAGAGCAAGTGTTTCCTGAGGCAGTGAAAGACTCTTCCAGGTACACTGCAGTCTGCCCAGCTGATGAACCACATCGGGACCCGGTGCTTCCAGCCAAAATATTACAGACCGGGACCAGGGAACAAAGAGCTCTATTCACTCGATTCTGAAGCGGTCAGGTTGTGAAAGTTTATTAAACCACTTTTAAAAACTGAATCACTGATGTAATTCACTGTTAAGGATGAGCAAATTTACTTTTGACCTTTTCTGCTTCCCACTTGGTTTTATATCAATGCCTCAAGATAATGTTATTACGTATTACACGTGTAATGTATACTTTACATCACAGTATGGGTCAATTCATTGTTATAATTGGCCTGAAAAAACAACTGGCCAGTTTCTTTTTCTTTTTTTCACAACTGTGCAGATTCGTCTTTTCCAGCAAATCTTTCTTTTTTCATTTTTCATTTTCTAAATGTGTTTGTTTAACGGTGACCTCTGGAACAGAGGTGTTTATTGTTCTCTTGAAAGAATTAATAGGATGTAGTTTCATCCTTACGAAGCACAAACTCTCTGAAGATTTCCGTTGGGATTGTGCAAGCAAAAAAACAAAACAAAAAAAAACTGCTGAGTTTTCTCCACACACTGCCGCTAATACAATTCTAGCAGTTATTCAATTGGACAAATAGCCGGTATATGATATAGCCGGGGTGTGTAATCTTTATGAGTGTATCATATCATACAGCTATCAGTTTAGATGAACTTTTTAAAGCTGAGTGAAAATGTCAATGCAGCCAAATCTAAAGTTGTATCGATAAAATAATTAATCAAACAGGATCAGATTGTCATTATTTTATATAATAAATAAAAAAATAGCCTTTTATATGACAAAATAGTAATATAATATAATGTAATGTAATATAATATGAACTTCACTTTCACTTTTCTTTATTTATCATAGACAGAATATCTCACTAACATGTGTAATGACAGAATTTTACTTTTGGTGGAGATTTAAGATTTTAAGAGTTTTTATGCTCTTCAACAATTTTTACAGATGCACGTTATTCATCTGACAGTGACGTAAGATAATTGAATTGTAACATGTTATGTTTTATTGTGTTTATATCTGCTTGCCTGCATGTCCTAATTCTAGTCTGTGTCAGTTTCATTCAGTTCACTGGTTTTTCGTTAATTAGCTCATTAGTTCCTCATCCCTGTTCAGTTCAGTTCAGTTCTTTGTCCTGTCTCGTCAGAGGATGTGTTTGCCTTTTCTCCCATTCCATGGATTTATTAAAGACTGTGATTCTGAATTATCCTTCTTGTGAGCTCATTTATATAGCATAATATAGGCTAATATAGGCCTAATATAAAGTGTCATTATTAAATATTAGAACAGTCCAAAAATATTAGAACACTGATGTTTTTTTAGCGTTTGCTGTGTTTTCACTAGTGAGCATCTGATTACTAAACTATTAGGCTACTCAAAATACTAAACTGAAACTCAATGTATAAGGATAAATATATATATATATATATATATATATATATATATATATATATTATGTCTTGTTGTTTGTAGAATGTTAAATGACAGCTGATTAAAATCCACCTCTAAGTAGGCTTGCTAAAACAAGAACATGCATTGCTTTAATGGACATTTAGCATACAGCTAACGTTATATTCCCTAATACAGTCGTATAAATTGTAGGCTAGATGTTCATTAGAAGAAATGTTCAGATATAATTGTGCCAATAGCCTATTCTGGCTTTGTGGAAATTGTTCACTAGTTCCTCACATAGGTCATATAGAACACAAAACACAAACATGTACACGCATTTCCAGAACTCACCGATTATTTCACACAGAAGCAAACATTTTCAGGACTTTTCCAGATGAAACTCGTTGTCTTTCGCTGTATCAGTTGACGTTCAGTGAAGCAAACTCTTCTGTTGTACAGTAGCACCATCTAGTGTCAGTCCCCATGCAGTGAAGATTGAAAAAAAAAAAGAGTTAAAATAGTAAGTGTAATGAAAACAAACCACCCCTTTGAATTATTGAACTATATAACTATATTGAACTATGAATTATATGAACTGTATAATACTCTGATTATTATTATTATGGCTGATATGGCCAGTAGCTAGTGGTTCTGGCTTCGTTTGGTGCCCTGTAGGCGAAATCAGACCCTGATATACAAATAGACTAAAGAAAATTATGTTAAAACAAAATACCTATTTAGGCCTAACTTGAGATCTTGCTGTTGAAAATCAGCTTGAAAATGCTATTGGCTAAGTATACTTGCTATCTCAGATAAGCTTTTCTGGGCCCATGGAGAAGAGAATTATAGAGCAAGAGCCTTGCAACCAGGTATCACGACAAGACGTGAAATAATCACCTTGGTCCACTTTGGAAAACGTGTAGATGTCACGGTTTAACCCCCTCAAACGTGAAACTTAAATGTTTGCGTTAACACGTTCCAGGTGGAGAGATACCCGGATGTTGACCTATTCTACACGCAATCGCCTCTGCCATAACAAACCGAGAAACCGATTTTGTTTTATTGAAATGTTCTATTATTTAAAATGCAAAAAACATTTATTATTTTCAAGGTGAAAATGATTCATTTGCCCTGATCCACGCCGAAAAAACGTCAAAATGTCACGTTTTTAATGAAGTAGCCTAATGAGTAAAATGTCTATTTTTGAATGAATTCTGTATTATATCATTCTGTAGGCCTATTATATCTTTTTTCCGAATGAATTCTTTTCACCTTGAAAATAATAAATGTTTTTTTTTGTTTTTTTTTTTGCATTTTAAATAACAGAACATTTCGCAGTGATCGTCAATAAAACAAAATTCCATTTTTCTTGGTTTAATTAAAAAAAAAACAATAGGTCGTTATGGCAGAGGCGATTGCGTGTAGATTAGGTCAACATCCGAGTATCTCTCCACTGGAAGGTGTCAACGCAACGTGTAAGTTTCACGTTTGAGGGGGTTAAACCGTGACATCTACACCACACTTTTTCCAAAGTGGACCAACGTGATTATTTCACGTCTTGTCGTGATACCGGGTTGACTCTGAATAGCCTCATGGGACGTGTGACATCTGCGCGAGCAGGTGTGAGGAAGTAGGCCTATGCAAATGCATACATTGGTGGGACATCTTCTCATTGGGACTTGAGTCTTCCACAGAATATGTAGGCCTACATATTTTTAAAATATTTAGACCACTTCTATTGTTGATTGGTATCAGGATGTGGAGAGAGTTTCCTCCAGTATAACAAAAAGTGTTTGTGAAACACTCTGCTTATGTTCCTGTAAGGACATCCTACTATGACTGTATCCAATTAGTGTCCCTTTAACTCGTGCATCTCGTTGTATGCAACTTGAAATTAAATGAAATAAAATAATGCATTTTTGAAACCCAGAATCGTGTTTAATTTGCACAACTATTCAGATGTATGTTATTGGAATATTGACACATTTATTTACTTATTTCAAAAATTTGAATATTAGGATTGAAGCAGTGAAAATTTCATGGTAACCTCAAATGTCACCATCTTCAAATATGTAATCATCAAAAACTTTCTACAGTCATAAATATGACAGAACTGAGCATGACTAGTAGGCCTAATATTTCATCAGATTAAAATAGCTCTTTGTGCATTTAATAAAAAATGCTATAAAATGAAAAAAGGAAAGAAAGAGATATGCAAATTAATTAGTGAAAAGGAATGCAAAACTTTTCATATTCCTCTCAATTATCTGACTAAACACGGTGGCATTTTCTGCTTCTATTGCATTTATTAATAATGTTCTTCTCCTTCAATTTCTGTGCAACACGTTATCCTCTGAAAATGTAGACACACCCAGATACTAGAAATTGTACCGACACCTGATACCTGCTCTGTTGACTCACCAACATATCTTCATTATTCACCTCATCATGAGCCCAACCAGTTTCATTCCAATCAGCTCCAGAGTAACGGCTACTGAGCAAATGTTAGACTGTGCATGGTATCACATTGCATAGATATTTCAAAACAGCATCTTGTATTTTATTCTTATTTTTCAAAGAACTATCTCAAAATAAATCCATGTAATACATTATTTGAAACACAGTTTCTAAAAAATTGTGTGTCCAGGAAAGGTGCATTCACATCACATTAGAGTAATTCCATGGGCAAAACTTGACTTGAACGTATGACTCCCTAAATAGTGGGCTATACAGTGAGCTCGCCATTTTGTAGTGCTGTCCGAATGTAGGCCAGTGATGATACCCTATATATAGTCCACTCAATGTATCCCAGAATGCATTTTGAAAAGTAGTGTACAACCAGAAAATGAAGACAGGCTCTGGTACAACCGATGGTCACTAACCCAAGCCCTAGCTACATACCATCATGCATTGCGCTGATCGTTAAAAAGACGGATGGGCGACAGCAATGAAGTAATCAACGCGCCGAGCGACGATCGAGTAGTGTCCGAAAGTGGTGTTTCTATGCTGGTGAGCTCACTATATAGTGCTCTACTCCCTACCCCCTATATAGGGAGTAGGGAGTAGTAGTTTGAGTGGAGATTTCGGACACAGCCTGCGTTATTTGCATGAGGAAATTTTTTGGCGTGGACATTCCTATTGGGATTACTTTATTTAGCTCAACAATTCTAATGTGACTGCAACTTTAGACGTTGACTTGCACAAATCTTTCAGTATTGTTTGAAGATTATAGGACGAGTTTGCTAGTCTTATATAGCTATGTTAGCTAGGCTAGGTAGAGATTTGATCAATCTAAAGCATACAAATGACCTATAATACTGGTGTGGCTTTTTCCACAATAATTAAATACAAAATAAATATATCCTTGACTACACCTTACATAATGTGATATAACAAGACATAATAACATCTTGTGAAATCTTTATATAACCACTTGTGTTGCATGTCAACACCCCAGCTAAGTCTTCATCACTATACGGAGCCTTCCTTTTTTTAAATAAAGTCTAAAAGTGCTTTGTGCCTTTGCTTTTTAAGTTTTCATCAGCCAAAGGTCAATGTTTGCCATTGTATTCTTCCCTTGGAGAAACTTTGGCGCTGTTTATTTTGCCAGCCGCTATCTGAAACAAGGACAGCAGCAACAGCAAAGTCTTCTGAGAGGGCTCTTCTTCTTGTATCTGGCAGCCATTGAGAACTTCTCCTTTGAGTCTGATACATAGTCTTGTGTCTTCTCCACATTGGCTTGTATGTTCTCGATCTGGTGCCCTTGCTCTTCCACCAGCATGAACACATCTAGAAAGAGATCTCTCAGGTCCTTCATGTTGCTTTCCAGGTTCAGGAGCTCTTTGTGGCGTTGCTCTATCTCTGAGAGCTGGGCACGGGTGATCTTTGCATCGACTAAGACGTTCTCATTGAAGACCTCCCACTTGCCCTGCTCGATCATGTCATCCACCTCCTCTTCGGACACCTCGCGACCCGATACCTCCAGCTGCCGGATGATAAAATGCTTGCATTTGTCCTGCTTGGCCAGGATCGCGTCATTGTGTTGTCGCATTACTTTTTGGAACTGGCGGAAAAGGGCCGCGTGTTGGGCCCTCTGGATTCGGGACGTGGCGTCATCCGGGCCCAGCTCGGCCTCGGTTCGCTTGGCCTGCTTGGAAAGAGCATCTAGCTTTTTATTCAGGCTCTCGGCCAACAACTTGATGTCTCGCGTCATGTTACTCTCCTTTTTCATGATGCTGAGGCGCCTGATTGTGGCCATAAAGTTTCTCTGCTGCTGGCCGAACTTATTGACTTCAGAGTTCAGCTCCTCGATGCCGTCACGGATGTTCTGCGCCTCCTTCAGAAAGTGTTCCAGGACGGGCTCCTCCTCAAAGATCACGGCCTGCAGGCCTATCAGCGAGGACGGGTCCATGTCCTCCTCCTTGTTGAAGGCGTTGTTGTCCAGCATCTTATCGCTGGCCTTCATCCGCTGACGCAACTCCTCCAAGCGGTCCTTCATGACTGACCTTGATGGGGAGCAGGTCAGATATGCTCTTAGATTTGAGAGTTGAATGTGTGTAAAATGTTCCCCTGCTTCTCATACCCTGTAAATATCCACAGAAGGCATTTTTAGTCACTTTATCAATAAACAACAAAACAGAATTAAAACATTATGATTTAAAATGTACTTGAGAAGTTTATAGCCTTGTAAAAGTTTTGATACCCGATAAGCAAACTCTAAAAATTTAAGTATTATTTTTTTTTTACATAAAATCAAATATATTAATTTTTGATCTAATTTTTTACATGACCGTGTCCCCTTAGGGGCTCTGTACAACAATTAAATAATGACAGTTTAATTTTTGTTTTTGTATACTGCAATTTTTCTTAATTTTTGCATTTTTTACTTTATGAATTATACAAATATTTAGAAATTATTTATCTGTGTGTGAGTGTTAATGTATTATTTTATTTATATAATATCATAATATTTATTAACATTTTGAATAAGCTTTTTTATTTTTACATTTTCACTTTTGATTTTGTTGTGCTTTGTCATTTTTGTTAGCATTTTCTATTATTTCATTTCAGTTTTAGTTTGTAATTTTAGCATTTCTAATTTTCGGTTACACTTTAAGTTTTGATTGAATATGTATATTTTATCTTATTTTAGCTTTATTTCAATTAATAAAAGCGATTCTTAATATAGATTTAGTTTTAGTTAATAACAACCCTGGTGTTCGATCATGTGTTTTTGTAATAAAATCACAGACATCCTGTTGGCACTGAGTTATATTTGCCATAAGTAAAGGTCACATTTTTGTCAGATGTTTTTGCATGCATTGTGCCTTCAGCTGCAGCTCTCGTGTCAAAGAAAGGATTAAAGGAAGGCCTTGATTCCAAACCTGTGCGGTTTTCCCAGTCCACATATCACCGCTGCACATTCATCACGATCACTGTAATTTATAATGTCTGTTCTGACACTGTACAGAACATGATACATGAGCATTCACAGGAGTTTGCTTCTAAATAACTCACTGGCTGGCTGGCTTGCTTTACGAAAAGTAAGAGGCATGACTGCTGATGTTTTTATCCTTGGTCTAGCCTGCTGGACTGTGGTTTTGGAAAGTGAGCTTAATGCCAAGGGTTGGGTATATCGAACTTGTCTGAGGAAAGTAAAAACGGAGCACTCCAAATCACAGACTATCCGGTTACTAGGGATTTCACACAGGGAAGAGAACAGCCCAAGCTCCTTAGGGAGAAAGCTTATGAATATAAGAGTGGCTTTTGTTTTCTGCAGCACATTAATTCTACACACATTAATTCTACTGCTCAGAACTTACGAACATTCTCTAATCCAGTCTTCAGCTTATGTTTGTTTACTGAATTTTCAGTATTGGATCAAAGGTGCCTCTTTATTTGTTTATTAGAGTCTCTTTGCTTTTTATAAGAACAGTTCATATTATACAAGATAATATGTTGATATACGTTCCCACTCTGGTCTAACCTCTCCTTTTTGGAAATCAATAATGAATAATATAATGAAAGTCCAAGACTACTGTAGCTGTCAAAGTAAGGTTTTTCAGGAGGATATCTCCAGGTATAGGTTTATTTATTTATTTTTTTTAATTCAAAGTCTGTATAGATGCATATATTGAAGCTATTGAACATTTCCACCTTTATTTCCCACGAAACAATTGTGTATAATTTAGCCTTCAGCGAATAATAGAATATTTAATTGTAATTTTTAACTGTTTTATTCAACAATAAAATTAAAGTTAATGTATTTTAAATGTACTAAATTGCAAGTTAATCTACATTAGTTTATTTCAGTATACCACAAATTTTCCATATTTCAAAGACAATAGGTGTAATTAATATATATAAAATATAATATATATATACATATATAAACATACATATATATATACATATATATATATATATATATATATATATAAAAGACAATGGTTATTGTTCAAAAGTCATGTATAACTTTGATGAATGGTTTTGATCCACTTCGAATGTTTACTACTGTGTGTCTATATATATATATATATATATATATATATATATATATATATATATACAGTATATATGTGTGTGTGTGTGTGTGTATAATGATATATATATATATATTTTAAATGAAATCTATTCCATATTGAGATCTTCCATTGACCTAGAGATGGCTGAAAATGTTATATAAGAATATTTTATCTGTATTTGAATATCATAGTTGGAGCAAATAAAGAGAAAAATACCTGTTATTGCTTTTAATCCCTGGAAAGTTGAATATTGCTTCATTTCAATTTGCCCAGCTTTTTTATCAACACTTTATCTGGCCACGGACTTGTACAGTAGGATGTAAGCCGGACCTGTTGAAGCGTTCAGGAAGTCCTTGGTATTCATCAGAAGGAATTGCAGCTCCCAGGAAGACAAATATGTGCTAGTGCGAGTTTTCCCTCTGCTCCACTCGTGTCAGTTATGTCTCTCAAAGAAAAGAAAAAAACACACACACACAGACTCCTGGGAAATCTGGTCAAGCCAGTTTAAAGCCACACCCCCAGTCACAGTTAGAAGTCTGTTTGCCCAATGGAGGGTGAAGCTTGTTCGGCAGAAGGAGTGTGGATGACGTGATTTGGAAAGGCATTGAAAGAACACGTGCAGTGGACCAATCGTTTCCCTCACCCTTGGCACCCTCTATTGTGTTTAAGGCAACAATGAGATCAGGAAGCTGCTTGACACAGTCTTGAAATCCTGAATTACATAAACATGTGCCTGTTCCAAAGCCCTCATATTGTATCTATGTCCTTATTTTCATCACAATAAGGGATAGTATAAATATAAAAAATGTCATTGGCTGGTTTCGTTGCTACATCATGTTATGGCAGATTGAGGATTGGCAAACCATTTAAACCTATTTATATGTTTCAAAGACAGTAATGGATATGGCCTATAAATGTATTTAAACATGCAAAGATAGAGTGATTAGTTAATTGGGTTAAGAGAGATGTATTTCAGAACTGATTCCTGATCAGTTCAACTGAATGACTCTAACAATGGTTTGTGTTTGTCCCCAGGCTGGTGCAGGAAACCGAGCTAAGAGGAAGAAGTGTGTGAACACACACCACTGTCTTTAGTAAAGCCTGTGACTGAAGATACTGCTGCAAGTGTCAACTTTTTTAATCATTAGTAATTGTTGAATAAGCTATGCATTCATTTCTGATAAAAGAAAACAAACAAACATTTGAATTACATTAATAGAATCTAATGAGAATCACCACCCGAAAAGGATGAAAAAATAAATAAACAGGTATATCTATTCTGAGACATTATGATATATAAACTTAACAAAAAAAAGTTACATCTTTTTTTAGGATACTGTATTTTAAAGATCATTTTGATTCAGATTTTTTTGTCAAGACATTATGTCTACATCAGTTTTAGACCCTTATTGAATCTCTGATGATTAAACGGTTTAGAAATATGTGCAAAAGAGGTGCTCCTCGAACATGCTTTAGATTGGGAAAGTTTAGTTACAGATTAGTTACAAGCCACATTTACTCAATTAAACACAAAATAATGAAGGGCGCAGACATTCGCTTTAGTTTGTTTTAATGAATAAAAAACATCAAAATTGTTTTTTGGTTCAACACTACATTGAAAGGTCATTTTTGGCTTGTTTATTGCGCCCTCTGCTGTTTTTGAAATTACAACACGTTTCAGTTATCAGGGCCTCCAAAAATATATTTTGCAGTAATGCTATACAACAATGTCCCATTAGTTAATGGATTAACTAACAATAACTAGCAATGCACAATGCACGTGTTACAATATTTTTAATTATCCCCAAACATGAGAAGTGACAGATACTGTATATTCAGGTATAAATTATCTAAAGGTCCTCTTTTTCTTATCTTTTGGGTGTCTTTCTCATTCTTCCATCACATCTACAACGAACATACACAGACATTTCAACTTACTGAATTTATGACTCAAAGATGTTTTTCGAAATGTCTAAAATGGTAAAATAGCAGTATATAGATTTAAATTAGGATGGACTCTATCATTTCTTACATTTACATATTTATGAATATAATAATAGGTCAAAAACATTAAAAAATTCTTAAAGATGAGAGAAGGTGACTACAAATGCTAATAAATGACACGCATTACAGCATTAAGGGCCATTCAAACCAAGGACGATTGACAATAAAGATAGTTACTAAAAAAATCATTCTAAATATAAAAGAATAGCAGTCCACACCACAACTACAATGATAATGGCACAGAGAAATATAGTTGGGATCACTTTCAGAACACTTCTTTTTCAGATGATGAATGACAAAAACATTGACAGCTAAAGATTAGAATAAACAGAACAATAGCCATTCTCCTCTGACCTCTGGCATCAACAAGGCATTTTCGCCCACAGAACTGCTGCTCACTGGATATTTTCTCTATTTCAGGCCATTCTCTGTAAACCCTAGAGTGAAAATCCCAGTAGATCAGCAGTTTCTGTATTACTCAGACCAGTTCGTCTGGCACCAACAACCATGTTCAAAGTCACTTAAAGGTGCAGTAAACAATCTCTGAGAAATGCTATCGAAAGTGAATTATCAGCAGTAAGGGGTGTGTCCATTTATAAAGGGGGAGGTGCCTGTGTTGCATAGTATTCATGCATTTGGGGGCGGAGCTATCAGGATAGGGGTGAGATCCTTTGGGGTAGGGGTGTGTTTGTTTTGGTGATTTCAAATATCAACAGCTTGGTGTGAATGGTCCTTTACTCTGTTATGATGTTTTATATTTAGAACTGGATGCGGATGTACCTGACGGGGCAGAATTCTCATTGGCCCAAACAGAAAACCCAGTAAGTGCCTTGGGTTTCCACTTCAAGGTGGTGGTTAAAGCAGGGTCATCTTCCTCAGCATCTCCTTTATCCTGCAGTCAAAAAGATTAATTATGATTTGGCTTCACACACAAATTCATTCAATATAGGCCTATTCTTATAGGTAGGGTACACCAGAGCTAAAATTAATAATTGTATTTTGAGGGGAGAAAATAAAAACCTAAATTCAAGCCCTGTTTTTTTTTTTTTTTTACCACAAACAGACTTCAAGGCTGTCCCTTCCTTATTGGTTTCTTCATCTGGTGCCGGCTTGAGTTTCAGTTCTCATTCAATACAAAATAAGCACACTTCTTTTTCACAAGGGTATTTAAAACAACTCTCTTAACAAGCCAAACTACTACAAAACAGTGGTAAGACTGAGAACAAAGACAATTTCTGCTGATTTATGTGATCATGATAGCTGAAATACATTCTGATGATATTTAAAGACATCCTGTAAAACATTAAATAGACATACCGGATCTTTCTGGAGGTACTCTCCATGCTGCTCGCACCCAATGTCAAACACATACTTCCCTGGACCAGAGGGCTAGAAAATAAGAAGACAATAATTCATACGAAATAAGTGATCACTTTGTGAGAGAAGTGCATATATCTTGTTATATTAATGTTAGAGTTTAGAGTTTAGTTTAGTTCTAACCCTGATCGAACTCACCTAGTAGCACCTCATTGCAATACATGAGATCCAGGGGCGGAGTAGGGTAGGTTTAGGAGTGGGTTTAGGTATTAGGGGGTGGAGCTGGGTAGGTTTAGGTAAAGTAAGGTGGGAGGAGTTGGATCTGGATCCAACTCCTCCCTGTGGATTTCATGTTCTGCAGTGAGGACCATCTCTACCTATCTGCAATTTTCCTGTACCCTTGATCAGCTTGTTCAGGTGTTTTACTGTAAAAGCTTTACTGTGAAACCTTTTTGAGTCCATTCATTTTGCTATTCTTTTCTTACTATACAGATAGTTGCATTTTATTATTGAATGTAGTACAGTTTGTCTCCCCATCCCCTGCTGTCCACAACCCAATTAGAACAGATTGCCATTTAAGCCATTTTCTACTACCCACCAGCTCAGAACCATAAATGCAGAGTATTACTTACATTATTATTGACAAAGTTGCCCTTATGTCTGTGGTTGAGATGGATGAGCTCCCCGGCTGACTCCATTTTACCCATGATCCATCTGCCCATGTACTGAGAACCGGAGTCATGATATGTGTATGTACCCTGCCCATGTCTAAGAGGGGAAAAAGACAGACAATCAGATACTTTTATTAATAAGCATGGTTTGCCATTCATTTTTAGTTGAACTGAAGATGTTAGGAATACTGTTACAACTGATATTAATAGTTTCGACAGGTTACTGGATGAGATTAGTGGAAAAGAGCGCTGCGTTTCAACTACCTTTGATGTTGCAGCCATTCACCGTCATATGTGTCTCCGTTAGGGTATGTGTAAAAACCATGACCCTGCTTATGGTCATTCACCCAGCTTCCTGAGGAAGAGGAAGAAATATCACACGTGAAGACTGTATAGTTAGAAGTCCGAGACAAGGGTAAAAAAGTTGATTAGTTTGTCATTTAAAATACTAGTGCTGCTAATCAAATTTTTTTTTAAAAAAGGTAGATTTACCTTCATATTTGGAGCCATCTGGGTAATAAAATATGCCTTGTCCATGTTTTAAATTCATGTACCATTCTCCAATGTATCTGGCCCCATTCTTGAACTTATATGTCCCCTGATATATAAAGACAACACAAGGTTTATCAAATCTTTCCTTTGTTTATGAGAACAAAAACTGCATAATAACAGTGTTTGTGAGCGACATGACCTGGCCACATCTCTTGCCGTTTTCATATGTTCCTTGGTAAGTGTCTCCATTAGGCAGGACAGCTTTGCCCTGTCCGTGTCTCTCTCCAGCTTCATTTCTGTCTCCCTCATACTCCTTCAACACAGAGCGATTACTGTCATCTCTACTGTGAACACACTGCGAACTGAGTATAAACTGTGACAAAGACTCACCCCTTGAGAGCCTTGCTCGTCGTCAAACTCTTCAGAGCCAACGTCTGTCATGATAAACTTGAGTTTAATAAATAGATAAGAGGGAACAACCCCAAAAGAAAAAGCTTCAGTTCAAGGCTGTTTACTGTTACCATAGCAATGCCGCTTGAGAGAAGACACATGCGCAATGTATGCAAAGTCTCTCGGACAACGACGCAGAAATATAAATTAAAACCGACGTGTAGCATACACACTGCGCGCGCACGCACGCACGCACGCACGCACGCACGCACGCACACACACACACACACACACACACACACACACACACACACACACACCACACACACACACACACACACACACACACACACACACACACACACACACACACACACATTATAAAGCGAGTGTTCTAAAAATAATATATTATAAATACCATTATTTTTGTGTTAAAATTAGCACTATTCGTCAAAAAATTGGACACACTACTGGAATTATTTTTTGTTGTTGTTAAAAACCATTTTACCTAACGTTATGCTAAATGCTTTAATTTAGATTTGTAGACAAAAGTAAATTGTGCTTGTATCAATGGGGTTAAAAACATCATTAACTGAGTTGAGACGATGTCTGTTTGATTTCAGTGAATGTTTTTATTTTAATTTTTGTTGTGAACAAAATATAGTTCATTTTGAGAATTTAGTTTTATTATTTAGAGCGTGACTTTTATTTTGACATGTATTAGCTCCTAAAAAAAAACTCGTGACTGACCAGTTAGCCCGTCATATGATCAGTGTTCTCTGAAACAAGGATGTGAGACAAAACAGTAACCGCTGCAAGAAAGTCAGCACACTCGTATTTTCGGTGCTGAGATGAATTCCCTTCACTTCATTCACGCGGTTCTTCACTGCTGGACTGTGGGTCTGGTCGTTTCTAGGGTCAGTGGGAAGCAGGTCTGGCCAGTGCCTTACCAGTAAGTTGCAGCTACTGTACACTTCAGCTCAATTACATTGCGAGCACCAAGGATTAAACGTGTTTATATCGGTTCGTCTTCAGTCTGTTTTTTTTTTCTTTCTTGTGGGAATTAATGTCAAGAGGTAGATAAACTGGTATTATTATTGTCATGTACAATGACGAGATGCTATTGGCATGGTTAATTCCAGTTAGGACCTCAGGATATTAAAATATTGTGATTAATGTATATTTAAACGTATGATTTCTTAGTCAAGTCACCTTTGTTTATATAGATCTTATTGTAAAATACAGATTGTTTCAAAGCAGCTTTACAGTGAGTTCATGTTGGCTGTACAGCAGCTCTACAAGAAAACAGTGTCATTGTTCAGCTGAAGTCTGTTCAGTGTTGATTCAGTTCTGTTGCAAAGATCAATTATTAAATTAATGTTCTGCTGAAAACAGTGGTCATCATCGTCCAGCTCAGTTCAGGTCTCATCCAATAGTGTCAGTGCAGTCGAACCAATAATATCGTTAAATATTGAGGGTCCCCAACTTAGAACGCAAGAGGCTTAAATTAGATGTAAGCACTTACTGTATATTTCCAGTGAATTCAAATAAACTACTTCACAATTTTATGCTCATGAATATGAATTAATTACATAATTTATTTGCTGAAAAGCAGAAGTAACACAATTTCATATCAATTTCTAGGCGACTTGACAGACGTCCAGATGTTGATCCCTTCTGCCAGGCTTTATACCCTTTTTGTCCCACTGGAGATCCAGATGGTCGGATACCTGTCATGGGAGACTCGGACGTCATCTCAGTGTTCAGACTTCAGACTCCTGTGTGGGAGTTCAAATATGGTGACCTTTTGGGAAAGTTTGTAAGTGAATAGCAGGCTCTTTTCTTTAAGAGTGTATTCATCTGAGTCTAATCAAGAGTTTTCACCTCAGCATGTCATGCACGACGCCATTGGCTTTGGAAGCGCAAAAACTGGGAGAAACTTCACTATGGAGTGGTACGAGCTGTTTCAGCTGGGGAATTGCACTTTTCCTCATGAAAGAGAGGGTTTGAGTGCGCCGTTCTGGTGTAACCAGGGAGCAGCATGCTTTTATGACGGCATAGACGACTTACACTGGAAGCAGAATGGGACTTTGGAGAAAATAGGAGAGATTTCAGGTAACTTTGTAAAATCTATAATATTTTAAAAATCTAATCTATTAAAAAGTTTGGGAACTTCACTGTTTTTAATGCTTTGCTCATATGCTCATCAAGCCTGCAGTTATTTAAAAAAAAAAAAAACAGAACAAAAAATGTAATATTGTGTATTATTTTTATAATTTAAAATAATTGTGTTCTATTGTAATACATTTTTATTGTACTTTACTGAATTTTTTATTGTACTTTTTTTCCATCAGCCATTACCTCATTTGTCAGTGTCACATGAACCATCAGAAATCATGCTGATTCGATACTCTGTTATTAAAAAATGTTGGAAACGGTTGTTAAACAGCACAACTGTTTCCAACATTGATAATAAATCCGATCACATGAGAATTATTTCTTAAGGCTCAAGTGACACTGAAGTAATGGTTGAGGAAACTAGTGCCTCGAGACAGTAATTCGTGGCCTCGAGATGGTAACTAGTGGCCTCAGAGACGGTAACTAGTGGCCTCGAGACGGTAACTAGTGGCCTTAGAGACGGTAACTAGTGGCCTTAGAGACAGTAACTAGTGGCCTCGAGACAGTAACTCGTGGCCTCGAGACAGTAACTAGTGTGACATTAAATTGTGGCCTCTAGATAGTAACTCGCGGACACCAGATAGTAACTTGTGGCCTCGAGACAGTAACTCGTGGCCTTAGAGACAGTAGCTAGTGGCCTTAGAGACAGTAATTAGTGTGACACAGTAACTAGTGTGACATTAAATTGTGGTGGCCTCCAGATAGTAACTCTTGGCCTCCACATAGTAGCAGAATAATAAAATAATGTTTAAAACAGAAACTATCATAAACAATTATATTGAATTATATTATATCAACAAATATTGAAGCAGCCTGAAGCTCTCGCACCATCCCCATCGCCACGTGTTTTCTGTTTCGTCTGGATTTGATTCTTTTCTTATTTGTGTTTTGTTAGGTGATATGTTTAATAAGTTGGCTCTGTGGGTTCAGAAGGACAATGAAACGGGGGTGTATTACGAGACATGGACGGTAAAGTCAGACCCTGGTGCCAACGCCACAACATGGTTTGAGTCCTACGACTGTTCTCAGTTTGTGCACCGCACGTATAAGAAATTACTGGAGCTGGGTGCCCAACTGTTGAGCAAGACTCCAACCAACTACACAAAGATCTATCTGTACAGCGGAGAGCCTCTCTATCTGGGAGATGACACCATCTTTCAACAGTCTTCTCTGAAAGATCTTGCCACAGACATTAAGAAGTTCTATCACTCGTTTCGCTCTCACCAGTCAGTGATCGAAATGATTATGAGCCTGTTGGAGGCTTATGAAAAGACAGTCCTCGAGAAGACCTTCTATTTCTACTTCAACTCTGAATATTGGAAGCTGCCGATGAAATATCCATTTTTACAAATAACCTATGAGGAGATTTCTTTTCCATAATGAACATTTTTTTAATACTACATAAAATTATTTTTCCTACTTATTTTCCATACTATCAGATAAGTGTTAATTTGTACTAATGCATGGAAAACACATTTATGAACATTGTTGCCTTCTGTAAAACATTCGCAAAGTGTGCACAAGTGTTTATTTGCTTTTATTTATTTCAACAAAAAACAATGTTATAATCATGTTTTTACACCACAGGAAATGTAATATTAGCAATACAAGCAATATGCTCACTTGCTTCAGAAAAATGAAATACATGAGCACTTGGTTTGATGCTGTTAATGGCTTTGAGTTGATGTAATGCTCTTTAGCTTGCACTTTCAAAAAGTCATGTCTAGCAAAAAGCTTTGTGTTTTAACGGTAAGATATGCACTGACTAAAGCCTTGCTTTGTTATTTTAGTGATATAACTAAATTGTATGCGAACTACCGTGTTGTAGATTCTGTTCTGTTCATTTTCAAGAATGTTTTGCTATCAAATGCAGGAATCTTAGTTTTCACGTAGATGCTACATTTACAAAAGCCAATACAGCCTTTAATTTTGGATAATTAGTTAAACTTACATGCTACTGACTTTTTATAAATTATTTAGATAGCTAAAACTATCAGTATAAGCAGATTAATACAAAAAAAGCATATCAATAATTTACACTGATGATCAACTAATCACATCACATCACTCATCTGAAAGAGATCAGCACAGAAACACTTTGAACCTCCACAGAAGTATACATTAGTATTTCTATTCATATCAAAAACACAGCATTTTATATACAGACACACGGAGCTTCCTTCTTAAAGGAAAAAGTTTTCACTGCTTCACTCCAATACTGAATCATATTGAACTGAATGGAAGGGCGCATGTTAATGCAGCCATCCAGAAAAAAAGAAATCATTCATTATCTGCTTGTATCCCATTCAGTTTTTCATTGCACAACATTCTTCATGCAATCCAATAGAAACCAATCAACGGTTCATTCTATCTCTAAAATTCTATTACCATCTCTTTCCAAAATTTGAGGACACAAGTGTTCTGTGAGCCAAACAGTGATCCTTTCATTCCCATCCTCTCTGACCAACTCCAACATACCTTGAAAATAATGTTTTCGACATCTTCCCTGCTAACCCAAAACATGAGCGACTGTTTCTTTTCTACTTGCTTAAACCAAACAAAATAAATATTTCCATTTGGTATGAATAAGGTGCATATTATTCACTATACATTTTTGTACAAAAGCACTGTAATACCAAATCTATGTATTAATAGACACAAATCACACAACATACAGTTCTTTATCTACATAAACCAAATCAGCACTTATTGTATGTACACTTCTTTCAGCCTTGAGCTTGTGTTGGTGAACTTATTAGTGAATGGAAACCGCTCTCACTGAAGTCTTATGGCATTTCCTGCCACTAGGAGGCGCTGCTAAAGAGTGCTAGTGAGAGCTGGTTCAACTAAGTACACAAACCGTCATCAAAATGGGATTATGGCCTGAGCCGCTGGGATAGGCGCCTACATTCCTGTCACCCTACATTGATTGGGCAAGCACTTTAGGAAATGGATGGATGGATAAAGCTTATGCATTTATACTAAATACACTGTTTGTGCTCTAGTGGATGAATGATTTATTTACATGAGATCCACCCTTTACAGTTTGAGCCACTGAAAACAGCCACAGATACATAGCAGGAAAAGTGAAGCGGAGAAATAGATGAGCACATGACTAGAATCTGATCTCAATTATACAACTTTCAGTTTCATTTCTAAATGAACATCTCCCACCCACAACACATTTAGCAATATAATCTGAAAATGTAACGTATATACATAGTATGATGTGTACAGTGATGCTCCATTTAGTTAGCAAATGTTACAAAAATATATTTTTGCAAATAACCTCAATTTTTGTGTTGTTGTATGTGACCCAAAATACCTAAAATTGTCATGCAGAGGAAAATATATATTTTTAAGAGATAATGTATATCATGAAACTAAGTTGTTGTAGTGTCTTTATGCTGATTACAAATATAACATTACTGTAGAGAGAATCTAATGGGATTAACAAATCAAATAACTTATTAAAAGGATGGGGAAAAAAACACTTAATTGTCATTTAAATATTGTTACAATGATACAAATCTTAAAGGGACTCTGTGTAGGAAATACCCCCATCTAGTGGTTAAATAGTATTTTGCATTCAAACGAATTTTGCTCTCCAGCGCCTCGCTTTTTCAAGTGCGTATTGCATCTACGGTTGCCGTTATGTACCAAAAATGCTATGACAGGATGTCTTGTAGTAACACTTCATCGAGTTTTTCTCTGGGTGAACAGGTTTGTAACTTAAAAAAAAACAGCAACTTATGTGTTAACTTATGTGTACAATTTATGTGTCTAGCTGTATAAATTAATTTTAATTCTCTGTACAATCTTATCCACATAGCAAAATCACAATTTTAGCTAATTGATCATTTATATATAAAAAGAAAGCTATAGAAAATCTTACAGAGAGCAATATTTTCTTAAATATTTTCTTACAATCATTATCTCTATATTCTTACTGAATTTATCGAATTAACTTACAAACCTTGTTTTTAGCACCTTCCTTCACAATAGCTGCGAGTAAAGTAGTCAATAGCTGCTATTCATCAAAGACCTTGTTTAACTTTTTTACCTATAAATGTTATACTGTCTATATAATAAAGTACACAACCAAGCAATGACAAATTAAGTCAGACTGTAACATTGACTAACCTGTCTGTCGAGGAGAAAGCAGGCAACTTCAGCGTCTCTTCTGAAATCTTTCTGCTGCATTAGCTATTTCCACGGTTGAAAACGCTATCCCGATATTTAAGGCCATTGCACACTGAGCACGAAATATTCGTATGCGTATTTTCCTGTACGTCAACCTAAAAATTCGTCACGCAGAGAAACCTTGCACACCGAGTCCGTTGCCTAAACCTTTGCGGGAAAAAACGCAAAAATACCAAATGGATTCGTCAAGCAGTGAGGATGATTTTTGCCCTCTCTCATATTGAAAAGAGAAGAAATAGAAAATATCCATCCAATCCTGAAATTGCGCCGAGAGGAAGGAGTTCATTATCAAGGAGTTGCGAATTTATCCTGAGCGATTCAAAATTTACCTCAGAATGTCAGCGGGACAGTTTGATGCTTTGCTAGCGATTCTGGAGCCACATATTAAAAACAAGACCACCAATTTCCGTGAACCAATCGATTCTGAACGAAGACTGGCAGTGTGTCTGGTATGGACCAGGTATGGACACACACACAAACACACACACACACCCGCGCGCGGCCCTGTGGAAGCGCTGGGCAGACAGAACAGCTAGGTTATTGTGTATGTATTGTGTATATGTGCCCAAATAATACATTAGTTATCGAATAGGCTGCTCAATCACACTTTATTCGATCCTAAATTTCAATCTGATTGAAAGGGGAGGTTTATTAATTTCATAATCCAATATAGAGAAGAGAACATAAACACTTGATCGAATTGAAAACCGAAACTGAAAGCAGTACGGCGCATATGTTCAATGATTTGAGGACGAGCTCCCCCGGCCCTGAATTGTCAAAAGACCTCTCAAAATGCTGGCTCTGGATGCGAAAAACGCAGAAAATCGAACCATATCCGATTAATTTTATGACGGAAAAATGAATGGTCTTGTTTTTTGCAATCCTCCGGTCACGTTTCCTTTTTCGTTCAAGTCTGGCCTTTTTTTGCGAGGAGGATGCATTCTCCTGTGACTCGGCATATGGTCCGCAATTACAAATAATAGAGCAAAAGAGCAATCAGCAATCATAGGAGTGCAATGCAGCCGTTTAAACTTGCAGGGAATGCGCCTCTCAATGAGACGTGACGATGGCTCTGAGTCTGAACGAAAACGCGTTGTGGAAACGCGTTTGGCTTGTGGTACTTTTTGACCCTCTCTGCTATTATAGTTTTCAAGATGGCGGAACGGACATGGAAGCCTCTGTAAACCTACCCGTCCCATGTACATAAAGATAATAAATTCTTCATTTACGAGGATAAGTCAGATAATTTGCAGAGGTTTTTGTACACCATTGAGGACATATTTATGAATAAAAATATTGATTTCAGATAATAAAATACCTAAAAATCTACACAGAGTCCCTTTAATGATGCTAAAATGGGCTTCATTTCTTTTTGATGCAAAATATATAAAAAATATAATTGTACATTATTTCTTTTCATTTTAGAGTTAAATATGACCTCAATAAGCTGTAAATTCACCACAACCCGCCATTAAAGGGATATTTCCCACAAAAATGAAAACCATCACCCTCATGACCTTCCAAACATTTTTATTCTGTGGAACATATGCACATTTAAAAAATGTCTGTGTGCAGTTTTTTTTTTTTTTAATTTTATCAATGTCAATGGTCACCAAAACTGTTGGGTAACCAACATTCTTCAAAATATCTTCTTTTATGTCCCACAGATGAAAAAGGTTTGAAATGAGGGTAAGTAAATGGCAGAATCCCTTTAACACAACAGTCCACATTAAAGGGATAGTTCACTTTGAAATTAATTGTTTTAACGTGTATGTTTTAGCTTACCTCAAGGGCATCCAAGATGTAGGTGTCTTTGTTTCCACAGCATTTTCAATTTTGACATTTTTTGGTCAAACCGTTGTTGTCTGTCAGTCCTAATGCAGTTTTAGAGGTCCACCTCAAAGAGCATGCACAGAGAAGTCAAAATTAAACATGATTTAATGACTTGTGAATGTAAGTAGCTACACACTGATTGCCAAAGACACAAAACGAGCGGTTTGTGTGAGAAAACGAACAGTATTGATATAGTTTTTACCTCTTGTTAACAGCCGTCGAACTCATCTGAACCAGATGTCCAACTGAACCGAACTAAACCGTCTCCAGACGTTACGCCGGAAGTGATCTCTCGAGCATCTACATCACGCATTGTTTACACGGAGATTTCGGAAGTTTCACCTTTAACTAAACACATTTAGATATATCGAAATCGTCTTCCATTGCGATTTCCCGTATATCTAAATATGTTTAGTGAAAGGTAAAACTTCCGAAATCTCCGTGTAAACAATGCGTGACTTAGACGCGCGAGAGATCACTTCCGGCGTAACGTCTGGAGACGGTTCAGTTTCGTTCAGTTGAACTTGGACATCTGATTCAGATCAGTTCGACGGCTGTTAACAAGACTTAAAAACTATATAAATACTGTTCATTTTCTCACACAAACCCCTCGTTTCGTGTCTTAGGCCATAAGTGTGTACTTAACCCTTGTGTGGTGTTCATATTTTTGTTATTCAGGCAGTGTTCGTGGGTCTGGCGGACCCGCTGCATTTTGGGGTTTTTAATTCAACACAAGAATCAAACAATTTCATACTCAACAGGTGTTTGAAATACTCAACAGATGTTTCCTTCATCCCAATTACAAGCAATACAAACAGCATATATGGTTAATATTTTCTCTTTACCTTTTTGTTAGATAACATTCAAGAATTAATGGCAGAGGGTAAAATGTGCGGGACTGGTAGAGCAGGCGGTGGGCGTGCATGAATTTTGCAGCAATGTTGTGACCTTTTGTGGGAATGTCAGGTGCAGAAACAAAATTCCCACTCACACACACACACAATGACAGTAGGAGGACAGAGTAAAGGTACACAGGACCTACATTTCCACACTTTTATTAACCTCGGGACCCAAACATCTTGTGTGTAATGTAAATGTGAAGGGGGGGGTGTACAGTGTGTTTTAATTGAAAATGTGTTCTGATATATATATTATTCACATAAAATGAGCCAAGGCCAATGAGTCTGAGTTTGAAAAAATAATTAATCGTATCATTTTTCTTTTGATAAAAAATGAAAACGGGTCCAACAGACCCGAACACCATACAAGGGTTAAATTCACGAGTCATTAAATCATGTTTAATTTTGACTTCTCTGTGCATGCTCTTTGAGGTGGACCCCCTAAAACTGCATTATAGGACTGACCGACAACAACGCTTTGACCAAAAAATTTTAAAAATTGAAAATGCTGTCAAAACAAAGACACCTACTTCTTGGATGCCCTTGAGGTAAGCTAAAACATATCAAAAATTAATTTCAAAGTGAACTATCCCTTTAATAATGTGAAAGGGAATTTACATATCAAATCAAATCTATGTACAAACCTTGGGAATTAACTGAAGACCACATAAAAAGCCCATATTATCAAAGGCTTAGGAGTACTTTTCAATGCACTTTTGAATGCATTTCACCAGGTGGGCATCATATCTGGAAACCAAACCCGACCCAGGTGCTTGGACACTTCCCAGTGGATCTCATCCAGGCTGTATTTGTGGTCTGGGATGAGCACCTCCTCCATGATGGACAGCTGAGAGAGGCGACGGCCGCACATCTTCACGAACTCCACGAAAGCACCGCAGGAGACCTCGCACTCGCCCAGACCGATGGCCGACAGGTGCTGGCAGCGCTCAGCGATGCGAATCAGCTCCTCGTCCAGCGGCCGGAGCCCGTTGGCACACACCACCAGCTCCACCAGACGGGGGCAGTTCATGCCCACGCGGCCCAGGACCTCCTTGCTGACCGAGCGGCCGAAGTACAGGTGCGTGACGGGGATCTCGTCGCGGAAGAAGGGCCCGAACTCGTCCTCGTACAGGAAGAAGTACATGACCAGGCTGAAGTTGGGCGAGTGGCGCAGCATGGCGTCCCAGCTGCTCTTCTTGATGGTGTGGAACTGCTGACCGGGGTTCTCACTCACCACGTCTATGCGAAGGTGCTCGAGGTGCACGTGTTTCTCTGACGAAAGCGCCAGGAGGAGATCGTCGCTCAGTAAGTGATAGTTCAGAGCCAGTTCTCTCAAACCGTGACACTGATCAGCAACACACAGAATACCTGCAACAACAGAAGATGGATGGCTCACTACAAATAATACAGCCTGACTCACGTGACTCTAAGGTGAAAAAAAGAAACAAATATTCTTAGATGGCTTATGATTTCTCATCAACGATTCTGAATTTTTATTCCACATATGAATGAACAAAGCATTTGAAGAGTTCAGATGCAAAAGCCTCTAAATGCCATTTGAAATTTTCTTCTTTAATGATGATTTTTATCAAACTTGTATATTTAAGTTCAGTAATTTCACTTAAATAATAATTAATAGGTAATTATCATTGCCATTTAAGTGAAATCACTGAACTTAAATATACAAGCTTCATAAAAGTTATCATTCTAGAAGAAAATTTCAAATGGCACTTAGAGGCTTTTGCATCTGAACTCTTCATTTGGAAGAATATGGGTAACCAAGCCAAAGTTGATGGATCCCTAATATTTTTTCCCCTACTATGGAAGACTATGGAAGTCAATGGCATCCATCAACTGTTTGGTACCAATATTCTTCAAAATATCATCCTTTCTTTTCAGCAGATGACAGAAACTCTTACAACTTAAGGGTGTGAGTAAATGATGACAGAAAAATTGATATTAAATGGATAGTTCCAAAAATTACAATTCTAATTACTTAAATAGTTGACCTAAAATCAGAATTCTCATATAATTTGTGGTTGCAAACCAATGATTCTTCGTCATTCACATTTGTCTTTGAACTGCTCTTTTATAATAGAATGAAAGTGAAATTTGTCATGTACTTTTTTTTTTTTTTTTTGTCAGTTTAAAACTTGTTAGCACTTGTTCCCCCATTTACTTTTACCATATGGAGAAATCAGTTGATACCGTTTCAACTTTAATTTTTGGCAATAATGGGGGAGAGAAAGAGAAAGTCATGTAGGTTTGCAATAAAATGAGGCAGATTATAAGTCACAGAATTGTAATATTAGGGTGAACAATCACTTTAAACCTCACTTATGAGAACAAACATCATGAAAAGATTATTTTTTTAAATCATACTGAAGTGTATGAAAGTATCTTTCCCCAATAGGAGTTAAACGGGCCTGTAAGAAATCTTTACACTATCACTAGTCCCATCAGTCAAGCCAACAAGACTGAAAACATTGGTGTGCATCTATTTCAATAATTACGGTAGTCTTTATGAGGAGCACAAAGGTGGCACTTTGTTTTATTCATTTTTTTTTCCATTGGGTTGGAAAGCCAGTCTCATGGGCGTGTCAATAAGCCATAAACATAAGTTAACATATTCTACCAGCAGCATGTGACTAAACAATGAATGCTAGAAATACACGTGTTTGTTTCTGTACCTTTTCTATTAAAATACAATACTTTACACTACTTTTAAAACAATTGGGGCTGGCAAGACTTTCTTTTATGCTTTTAAAAGTCTCTTCTGCTCAACAAGGCTGCATTTATTTGAACAAAAATACAGTAAAAACAATAATATTGATTACAATTTAAAACAATATTTGAATATATTTTAAAATGTAATTTATTCCTGTGATGGCAAAGATATTATTCAAGTCATATGACCCTTCAGAAATCATTTTAATATGCAGATTTTCTGCTCAAGAAACATTTATCATTAATAATGTTGAAAACAGTTGTGTTTCTTAATATTATTGTGAAACTATGGTATATTATATACTATATATATATATATAGACTATGCATATTTTGTAACATCAAATATTAAAAACATCTTTACTTTCGCTTTTGATCAATTTCATGTGTAATTTCTGAATAAAAGTTTTATTATTATTTTGTCATTCTTACTGAACCCAAACTTTTGAACACTAGTGCAAGTAGTTTGTTTCACATTTGATTACTTTAGTATTTATTCTGAATGTTTACTTAATACTGCTTTTAGATGCCAGTCTCTGTTTACTTTATTTGTAGTGATGCAATCTATTGCTCATAGTTTGTTTAAGTGTTGCAAACATGCCAACATTTTGAATTTACTTGAAAATATTTACACATGCTATATTTTAATTGAATTTGTTACCACTGATATTAATATTTTGCTTTTTAAATAAAAGAGTGTGTTCAGCCTATTGAAACTGGTGATGAGTATTTCATGAACTTGCTAGTAATGGGTCATGCATGAACGATTGGGTCGTTCATTGTGTCTGTCACGTGACAAATGAACGAAAGACTCAGAAGGTAAATTAAATATTTATGTTTCCTGTAAATTTATCTTTGGCTGCATTATAATGATTTCTTAATTCAAAATATGATCAAGATTACGTAGGTGGATGTGTTCGGGGAATTTGGCTGTCAAAAGCATGTAAAGGCACTTAAATTAACGAAACAACTCATTTTGAAGAACGAGATCGAACAAGAGAGTCAGTAAAATGATCCGAACTTCCCTTAACTAGAGCAGAGATTCTCAACTCAGGCCCTTAAGATCCAATTTTCAAACATGAACAAGCTGATCCAAGTCATCAGGATCACAAAAACATAAGAGTTTGAGCTAATCTCAGCAGGAAAGTTGAGAACCCACAGTCCATCAATAACACGTGTCATACCTGCAGGAGAAACATGAGGGCAGCTGCTCATCTTCAACAGCTTGAGTGTGTCACTGTTGTTGGCCACCAGGACCTTGAGCGAAGGATCATCCACTGGCGTGTCATCAATTTTCAGAGACGAAAGAGACTTGGAGTTGACGAACACCACGGTTAGTGCAGAGATGAAGTGGGACTGAAAAGAGGAAACAATAAAACATCAGGAAACATCCAGCCCATCATCCTAACACAAGACTCAGCCATATAACGCATGTCCTGATACCTTGGGAAGCTCCATGAAGCTCGGTCGAGCAGTGGAGATCAGTCCAAGAGTCTTCAGAGAGCAGTTCACCAGCTGAGACAGGATATCACACGCAGCCTCTGCTGATTCTGTGCTGCTGTCCACCTGTGCAAACACAACACAAACCCTTTAGTCAAGTCACCTTAATTTATGTAGAGCTTTTTACAAGACAGATCGTCTCAAAGCAGCTTTACAACGATAAGAGGAAAATAATGAAGAAATTCCAGAAAAAAATAGCATCACAGTCCAGCTTAAATGGGTCATATAAATGTCATTTTCATTTGATTCTAAGTTAATTTGATTCTTTAGGGTCTGATTGAAAAGTTTGTACTTTCATTAAAAATTCTCATTAGTATTGTAAGAAAACACTAATTTTACCTGGTCAAAAACAGCTGTTTTCAGTATGCCGTTTCAGTGCATATGCCTTTAAATGATAATAAGCTTCGCTGACTACGCCCCTCTATTCTGCGGGCTTTTTGACTTTTACTGTCTATGGTTTTGACACAACGCACGTTCTCCACAGAACAAGAGCCTGCTAGCTTAGCTTCCAAAAAAAGGTGGGTGACACTATGTGTACATTCTGTGAGTGAGATCCCACTCTCTATGGGTGGGTTGAGAACATGCAGGACAGCCCCTACTACTGGCTATAGTCTTAAGCCTCTGGCCAAAAAATCCTCGATTTTTGAAAATGATGATTTTTGCGTCAAAAAAAACATAAATCTCTGGGTGGAAAGCATAATAATTCAAAAATACTACAGGTTTTCTACAAATACAAAGCTTAATGCTAAATCCTGAAGTATCCCTTTAATATTTATGTGAATGAAAGTTTAAATTAAATCTGCTCATCATATAAATCAGAAGACTTGAGATTAAACAGCTCGATTTATGGATTAGTTATACGATGTATATGAACTTTTTAAAGCCTGATCTTTGGTGGAGTGGACTTTCAATGGAGGAACAGAAATCTCTCAGAAATGATTTGGTAATGATTTTTATTTTTTAGTTAACTGTCCCTTTAAAGGGTTAGTTCACTCAAATATTAAAATTCTGTCATTGCAAACCTGTGTTTGTTCTTCGGAACATGATATTTTGAAGAAGGTTGCAAACAGTTTCGGTTCCCACTGACAAAAATACACAATGGAGGTCAATGGGAGCAAAAAACTGTTTGGTTACCAACATTCTTTAAAATATCATTTGTGTTTCGTAAAACAAAGAAAGTCAGACAGGTTTGGAGTGACATGAGGGTGGGTAAATATTTCATACTATCCCTTTAAGGCCAGCATGATTTGTGAGCTGTAATGTTTAAAGCAGTAACCATGTGCCTCTCGATCACAAGTTCATTATGGCGTACTGCAAGGCTCAGTACTAGGACCGCTGCAATTCACGCTGTACATGCTGCCATTAGGAGATATCATTAGGAAAAATGGATTTAGCTTTCACTGTTATGCCGATGATACTCAGCTCTAAATCTAACGGAACTTACCAATTCACAAAATTAACGGAATGCATTGCTGATATAAAAAAAATGGATGACTAGAAATTTACTACTATTAAATTCTGAAAAAAAAAAGAGATTCTGATTATTGGACAAAAAACGTCCACACGGAATAACCTAGAATACACTTGATGGCTTCGTTGTTGGTTAGGAACCAGGGTGTGCTCTTTGATGCCAATCTTTCTTTTGAAAGTCACGCGTCTAGTATCTGTTAAACCGCATTTTTCTATCTTAAAAATATTTCTAAATTACACCATATGCTCTCATTGACTAATGCGGAACAATTAGTTCATGCGTTTCTGACATCAAGACTAGATTATGTAATGCTCTACTGGGTGGTTGCCCTGCACGCTTAATAAACAAACTACAGCTAGTTCAAAACGCAGCAGCTCGAGTTCTTACTAGAACCAGGAAATATGACCAGATTAGCCCGGTTCTGTCAACACTGCATTGGCTGCCAATTAAACATCGTATATATATTTTAAAATATTGTTGATTACCTACAGTACTTGAGCGAGCTTTTAACGCATTACGGTCCTTCACGTCTATCTCGAAATTCCGGCCAGTTGATAATACCTAGAATATCAAAATCGACTGCTGGTGGTAGATCATTTTCCTATTTAGCACCAAAACTGTGGAATATTCTTCCTACCATTGTCCGGGAAGCAGACACACTCTGTCAGTTCAAAGCTCGATTAAAAACACATCTCTTTGCACCCCTAGCATACACATAATACATTATAAACTTCTATAATTCAATGTTACGCTGCATATATTAGGTCAACCAGAACTGGGAACACTTCCCTTAAATCCTGATCCCTTGTTACATCATAAGAAGAATGGCATCTACGCTAATTTGAGTGTCTTTGTTTATCCCGAGGTTTTCCCGCAGCCTGCCAGATCCAGGCCCTATCCAGATCTGACGAGGAGCTTAGCCTGGACCCGATGACGATGACACCGCACTGCTGAAGTGCCAACTAGCCTCTCCCTATGGAGGATCACTTTCCCACTCTATAGATAAAGCGTTGTGAATTTCGTTTCGCATACCTACCCTGAAGTTATAAAATAAAACAAAATTCTGTATCAAATGTATAGTCAAGTTGTTTGTTCAGGCATGTTTTGTAGGGAATAAAAAACCGGCGCACATATATTCAAACGCACATAACTATAGTCTGTTTAGAGACATTCACATTCATTTTTACCTTACAGTTACTGTAAATCCAGCATCTAGTTCATAAACGCCAGAGGAGAACTGGCCCCCGACTGAGGTTTTTTTTCCTTTTCTCCATTGGGTCACCTGATGGAGTTTTAGGACACCTTTAGGTCACTTGATGGAGTTTTTCGGTTCCTTGCCACTGTTGCCTTTGGCTTGCTCAGTTGGGGATATTCAAATTAATTAACCAATCAGTAATACCCTTGATCAGCTCTACCAAACGTAGATGTTTTTCCACTGAGAAACAACATTGTTATTATATTTTGATTGATACTGTGAAGCTGCTTTGATGCAATCTATATTGTGAAAAGTGCTATATAAATATACTTGACTTGACTCTCACCTTGAAGCTGACGTACTGTAAATGATTGGAGTGCCTCTTTATTATCTGCTTGATCAGGTCAGGATGTGTGGCCTTCAGGTAAGAGCTGGCAGGCTGATTGAGCTCAAACTCGAAGCACCTCCACAGCTCGGGCATGTGGAAGGCCTGGTTCCAGCTGCGACAGACCTGCGAGGCGAAGGCACGGTCCAGGAGCGGCAGGTACTGAAAGATGTGAAGCAGGATCTCCTGGGGCAGTCGAGTCCAGTGGGACATCTGGTCTCCGGGGTCCTCGTCGGGCTGTTTGACCCTCTTGCAGGAAACTGTCGGCCCAGCGCAGGATGAGGTGCTGCTGTCGTCTCGCTCTCTGCTCGATCTCCTCTTCATTCTTGGGGGCCTGAGAGAACTGTGAAGCATGAGAAGTGAAGTATAAACACCCGAGTGAAAATACACACAAAGAGAAGAGAACCATAGTTATTTGAAAATAACGTACATCCTAAAACCATTATTAGACTATATCGATATATGTGTATGTGTCATACAATGTGTGTCATGGGCATTCTATACATACACACACACATATATATATATATATATATATATATACAAACATACTTCCATACAACATGTCATATATTCATTTTATATTCTATATTATGACATATTCTATATATAAAACGTGTCATTTTTTAGTTGACACGTTTAAATGGCTCTGAATTTTCCTAAAAACAAGTGCAAGTCATTTCGGCTCAACACACGTCTCAATTACATGGCAGGGATATTATCCATTATCAAAAACATAATCAGCCTGTTCTGAACACACTAACGTTACACATATGAAGCCAGTGATCTAGTTAGATTAAAGCCACCAACCGCCATACTGTGAATCCCGTGTTTACCTGTTTTGTGTATTGCTCATGATATCTCCGTTCAGATCGCTCGCAAACAGCGAAAAACAAACAAAATCCTGATAACTCGCGAGAATGTCAACCCGGACCGGAGCCTGAACGCATCAGAATAGAGCAGAACGCACGCATTTGAAGCGAATGAGCGCAGATTTATGAAGTTATCTCGTTTTTTCGGGAGTCTGAGTGCGTATGTCTCGACGATATTTCTGGTTGACCTACTTCTGTTCTGTACCGCGGGAGATTTCAGCGTCTCCGCCTCCTCTCAACGCTGAAAATGGCGATGTTGTAACTTGTTGTCGAGTGTGAGAGAGAATAGCATTGGGCGGCGCGGCTGCTGTGCTGTAGTCAAACAGTTCTTCCTCTAGGGGGCGCACGGCGGCCCAGAAAGATGAACAACAACAACCCACCCGCGCTGACTGTCGAGCCAGCGGAGAAAAGTGACACGTACCACGTGACAATAACAAAAACGCCGACTGGACCACCATTATAATTTTATAGACACTGAAAAAAGGTTGCTAATATTTTTGTTGTTATATTATATTGTTTACTAACCTATATTCAAACGTTGTTGATAATTCCAATGTTAGACTATTTTTTTAAACATACTACTTTTTTTTGTTTTGTTTTTACATTTAAGTTTGAACAGTTTGAAAATCACCTCACCAGTGTTGTGCCAGTTCATACTTAAAAATAACTAGCTCAAAGTTCAGTTCACACAGATGATAATGAACAAGTTCATGTTAATAATTATTTTTTTTAAATGAACTAAGTTCACATATCTAAAAATGAAATAGTTCACGTTTGTTAAATTCTTTTTAAGATAAGCCACTATCTCAATAGAATCTCTTTACCATCCATTACCAGCTGCAAATCACTGCCACTTCAAAACTAATCAAAATTATTGTACCAATAAACAAGATACAATTATTATAGCTAGGAGAAAAATAATGTTGAGATAAGATATTTACCCCTTAAATAATGTGTAATCATGATATGTAAAAATTTGAAAATACAAGGTGCAGTCAATGTATACTGTTCAGCGAATCTTTTATTTAGCCAACATGAACCAAATTTCCCAGGACTTAAAAAAGGTATATTCAGGTTCATGGGAAACGATCAGTCTACTGACAAAAATCCAGAATATTCTGAACGGCAGTAACTAAACCAGACCAAAGTAGTCAAGTACTGTAGTGTCAAATTTGCGCTTACCCTGCTCAATGTGCGTTACTCAACCAACACATTTTCACACCTTCAAAAGGAAGTAAACAGAGAGTAAACGACGAAAATGCAATTTACATTCATTTATAATAAACCACTTGTAATACACTTGTATATTTCCTCGCTATCTGTCTCTACAGTCCCACTCCTGGTTAGACACTCCTCTAACCTCAAGATCGCTGCCTCCACTTCTGAACGGACGGACGGATTTTGCATGCATTGATGCATTTCTTGCATCTTTTTCAGATGCAGCACAGGTACCACACAGAGCCGACGGCAAACTGCTCTGACGTGGCATATTTATGATTAACCTACATTTACACAACAAAATCTTATACAACCTCGCAGGTATTTCAGGAAATCATATCTTTAGACGAACATCATCGGAAACGACGCTCATATTTCATGAATGAATGAGATGTGGAAAAAAGCACTCGACACTCCTTTTGTAATGTACCTTGCTGAACAGAGAACCCGGTTTATTATTACCATCCAGCTCCATCCACAGATAATAATACAAAGCATATTCACAGGTTGCATTTTTTGTCTTTTACAGCAGCTGTTTATCACCCCCACCCCCCAAACATTCCTTCCTATATGCCTCCAAAACAACCACTAAATAGCCACAATTTGTAATATATCTCGTTTAGCCTCGCGTTTCTTCGATTTGGTGTGAAGACTGGCCCCAAAGATGTTCTTACAATACAAAAGCAGAACATACTCACCTTTTGTTTTTAATTAAAACAACAGAAAAATGGTTTTATACCACGTCATTTAGACATAAGGGCAGACACCGCAGACAATAAGCCCCTCGATAAAATTCTGACTACAGAAATGATATTGTACTTGCCGGGGGGGAAAACACAAGAGCCTGTGTATCACTGTATAAAAATGTACAGTGGCTTTATTGACATACATTCCATATGTTTACATCTGCGAGGAGGCACACCCAGTATTGCACTTCATTAAAAGTTCTGGCTCAAAACATAACCCAGAATATCAAAGAAAACTGAAGTGTCGAGTAGCAACATCGGAATACACATATGAAGGGTTACTGTCATTATATACAAGATTAGATAAATCGTACACTATTTTCCTCCAGCGTAACATTCTAAAGTCCTCTTATAGCATTTGAATCTTTAGCCGTCAAACCATGATGCACTCCAAAGTAAAGGAATACTGTACAGGATTACGAAAACATAGTTAACATACAACAATAGAATCTTTAATTTGTATTTTGAGAAGCTTAAATCATGGCCCATCCATGGTGGTCTCCAATTCGCTTCAAAATCCTCCATACGTTGTTAGACTTCAGTGGTCAGGAGGTGTGCAACGTTTATACAAGCCGCAGGGTTACAACGGCTGCATGCAAACACGTCACAACGGTTGATTTTTTTTTTTTGTTCTTTTTTTCCGTTCTTCAGTGTCTTAAAGAGAGAGAGGATGCACCCTGGAGCACGGCGGCCAGTCCCAGCGCCCTCAGTAGGGGACATCCGGTTAGTATCTGCTCTCAGGCTGTGCTGAAGAGGGAGTCAGCCGCCACAGGAGGGTGAATATATCTATATAGAGCGAGATCATTACAGGACCATGGCGTTTAAAAGGTATGGGCATTTCTACACACACCGCAGCCCAGCGCAAACTCCTCTCCGGTGGGAGGATGTACCACATGCAGGGGACACTCGCTTCCTTCCAACTGTTTTCCTTTTGGTCCTGTGAGGGAGGGAGGAATGAAAGAAAGTCAAAATGCTGTCTTGCCAATTTGATGGCTAAACCTTCAATAACTGAAAGCGGCCTGTAATAAAACAAAGGCTTATTCAACAAGAGAAGGATGACACATGAGTTTCAAACAAACCAAAAATTGTGGTGGGAAGTTTTTATTGAAGGGATAGTTCAACCAAAAAAAGAAAAATTGCTGTTAATTTACTCATCCTCAAGACTCGAAAGTGTCTTTTTTCCTTCAGTTAAACAGTAAAGACGATTTTTCAGCTGAAACCGTAGTCCTTGGGGATTTAAATAACGCAAGTCAATGGTGACCGTCACTTTGAAAGTCAAAAAGCCACCCCAAAAACATATACAAGCAAAATAAAATTAATACCTATTAGAGTTGAGCCGGATACTCGGCTGAAACGAGTATCCGGTACGGATAAAGCACTTTTGTCGAGTACGAATATTATACGAGTAATACGAGTCAATATCTGTGCTCGGATAAAAAAAAAAAAAAGTTATGTTGAGATTAAGGCTGAGCGATATCAATATAAAGAATATATATATTTTTAAATGTGATATGTAATTAAACCATATTGCATATCGATATAGGCTATTCAGGTTTGCGCTGTGATCCTTGCTCCAAGCAAGCTGCTGAGTGCTGAACCAGAGCTCTCTGCACTGCTCCCCGCGCCCCAGCCACTCCTTTTCCACTTTGCGTGCTTGATTAAAGCATGTTATGTTATGAAATAAAGTCTTTCACCTCAGCAAAAGGGACTTTCTGTCCCGTCACCCGTTATACTGTAACGTTAGTCGTAACGCACACTCAATTGCACGCGCAAATGCGTTGGCGCGCGCTGGATAGCCTCTGTATATAAAGTGCAAAAGAAACTATACGAGCATGCAACACCGTTACGTTGTAAATTACACGAAATAAAAGCAATGCAGTTATGATTTTCATTCTATTCACCAGGAGCAGTTTCAATGTTTCATAAACAGTTCTTGTTGGTATTGTGTATTCACTATTCACCATGGTAACTGTCGTTTCTATATTAACCCCTTAATGCCCCTATTTTTCTTTGTGTTATTTTTTTTTTTTTTTAATGACTGTAATGGCTCATACCAACGTTGTATTAACAAAATAAATAAACCAATTAATAAATCACAATTACAATTCCAAGGGAATAATCTGCAATGAAGATTTTTGTCATAGCTAATCATGCAGCCCTAAGGTGAAGAAACCTGTTTATTATTTATTCATTTGGTTTGGCAAATGTTCAAGTTTCAATAAAACTACTTGTGACATGTCATATTTGGCTTTGACTGAACATTTGCTCTCACTTTGCAGAAAAAATATCGGGATATATTTTGTATATCGAAATTCAGCCTAAATATATCGGGATATGACTTTTGGTCCATATCACCCAGCCGTAGTTGAGATGAAAACTCTTGTTCATTACATTTTACTTTATAATTGCAGCCACTTGTGTTGTATTCATTGTTGCAAAACTTGTTTTGTAGTTCGTTTGTTATCGTGATCAAAACCATTGATCTGAAGCTCAATGCTGATGCTGTCATGTAAATAGTTTTATTTCTTATCAGCAAAAAATATAGCAATTTCAGATCAACCCATATCAATTGCATGCTTAAAATAACATACCGGTTAAAGCCCCGCCCATTTCAAGACTACCCGACCCACTTCCGGGTTTAGGCCCCGCCCAGTCCGAGTACAGATACAGATACAGATAATTCATATGGTTAACAGATACAGATACAGATACAGATAATGCTGTACTCGCTCATCCCTAATACCTATGGCTCCTGACGATTCATTTAAGGTCTTATAAAGCAAAGCGAAACGAACATCAAGTCAAGTCATCCTCATTTATATAGCGCTTTTAACAACGATCTTCTGCAAAAGAAACTGAAACAGTCTCAAGACTGTTTGCCAAGGCTTTGGATTACAGGTAATAATGCTGTAAATAATGTTACCTTCATAATGTGACACTGCCACAGTAAACTTAAGTGAGCATCGTTCCCTGCACAATGCTCACTTAAGTAAAAAATAAATAAATAAATTAAGTAGTAAATGTGCCATATCTACATTTTTATTTATTTATTTTTCATTGGCATATAGATTATGTTGATTTTGAGCATTTGTTTTTTGTTTGAGGGGGAATTAGAGGGACTTTTGTTGGTTTCTAAGGACTAATTATGATGGGCCACACTTAAAAAAGGGAAGGGTGGCCATTTTGAAGAGGTTTGTGTGTGTGTGAGGGGGTGCCTTTGCTACTTTAACTCAAGAGCATTGGTCCAAAAATGATCTATGAAAATAGGCTTTTTTTTAGACTATACTCTGAGG